TGTAGGAAAAAGAACTCTGAATTTCCTATGTTCTGAAGATGGCAGTGAATTTGTTCGGGTTATTGTTTATTTAACCCTCTGGTATAATATTGCTTTTATCAGAAAGTCCATCCATGATCACCATACAGCAATGCACCCCCTTTTTTTTTTAAGCCTCTTAACTGTTTTCTTCAGAACATTTGTCACTTAACAGTTTACTTATTGTCTCCTTCTACTTCCACCCCACAAAAGTATTAGTCCCTTGACTTTTTCATAAAAGTGAATTGCTATATTCCCAATGCCTAGAATGGCACCTGTTACTTAATACATGGTTGTTGGGTTTTTTTTAACCTTTATTTTTTATTTTTATGTGGTGCTGAGGATCGAACCCAGCACCCCGATGTGCTAGGGGAGCACTCTAATACATTCTTTTTTATTTTTATTTTTTAGTTTTTGGTGGACATAACATCTTTATTTTTTATTTGTATGTGGTGCTGAGGATCGAACCCAGCGTCCCGCACATGCCAGGGGAGCGCGATACTGCTTGAGCCACATCCCCAACTCACTCTAATAAACTTAATAAACACTTGTTGAATGAAATCTATGATGTATTCTTGAAAAGTAGTTTACAAACAAACCTGAGTGAGTTTCAGAATCAACTAGAGCATTTAAGAAAAATATTACCAAATTAGGTTTCATGGAGTAGGTTCTGACATCCACATTTCAAAACCACTGTTAGATTATATAAGTACAGAAAGATTTAATATCTTCTATTTTGCATGAATTACCTGTGAATTGGAACTTTCATGTACTTAACTATAGTTTGATTTCTCTATTTGTAACTTTCTGCTCTGGTTGGTAGTTTTACCAGTGGGAAAATGTGGGTCCTATGAGCTATATGGAATTAACCAAGAAATTAGATTATCAGGTAGTTTTTAGCCTAATGTATTTATATAAACCTACAGATGACAGGCTCCACTGTCATGAAGGAAGAAGAATTATTACATAGGACCTAGCAGAAACTACTGTGTCTGAGTGAGAAGTTTCTAAATTTTTTTTGTAGTCAACTCACACTGAAGGCAGATGTAGAGCAATAACCCATAAGACAGCCAACTTCTCAGAAAAAGGAAGTTCAAGACAATACCAGATATAAGTTTGCAAGTCAGTTCAAAGTTCTTTTGCAAGGGGAAGAAGTCCCCACTAGCATCAGGCATGATTAAAGGCTACAAACAAGAACAAGTAAGGCACCCTCTCTTCTGGTTTTTGTCACACACATGTGGGCTTTCATACCTGCCAGGAGATACCAGAGAACATTTTCATACTTTATTATCTCCTGGAGTATATTTTAACTTTTTTTTTAAGTTATAGATGGAAGCAATACCTTTATTTATTTATTTATTTATTTATTTATTTATTTATTTTTATGTGGTGCTGAGGATCAAACCCAGTGTCTCACACGTGCTAGGCAGACACTCTACCACTGAGCTACAAACACAGCCCCTGTTCTTGAATCTTAAGCAGCCCTGTTATCATTTTCAAATCACATTTATTAAGGACTCTGTATATGGCATTAAAAAACTGGATGCTATATAAAGCAATATGAATGATGATCTCCCTGTACTACCTTACATTCAGAAGCAAACAATTTAGCTGGGTGTGGTGGTGCATTCCTACATCCCAGTGGCGCAGGAAGCTGAGGCAGGAGGATCACAAGTTCAGGGACAGCTCTGGCAACTTAGAGACGTCCTAAGCAATTTAGCAAGACTCTGTCTCAAAATAAAAGATTTTTAAAAGGGCCAATATAAAAATAAACAAAAGGGCTAGGAATGGGCTGGGGATGTGGCTCAAGTGATAGCGCACTCGCCTGGCATGCGCAAGGCACTGGGTTCAATCCTCAACACACATAAAGATAAAATAAAGATATTGTGTCCACCTAAAACTAAAAAATAAATATTTGGGCCAAGGACCTGAACAGACACTTCTCAGAGGGGGACATACAATCAATCAACAAGTACATGAAAAAATGCTCACCATCTCTAGCAGTCAGAGAAATGCAAATCAAAACCACCCTAAGATACCATCTCACTCCAGTAAGATTGGCAGCCATTATGAAGTCAAACAACAAGTGCTGGCGAGGATGTGGGGAAAAGGGTACACTTGTACATTGCTGCTGGGACTGCAAATTGGTGCAGCCAATTTGGAAAGCAGTATGGAGATTTCTTGGAAAGCTGGGAGTGGAACCACCATTTGACCCAGCTATTCCCCTTCTCGGTCTATTCCCTAAAGACCTAAAAAGAGCATGCTACAGGGACACTGCTACATCGATGTTCATAGCAGCACAATTCACAATAGCAAAACTGTGGAACCAACCTAGATGCCCTTCAATAGATGAATGGATTAAAAAAATGTGGCATTTATACACAATGGAGTATTACTCTGCATTAAAAAATGACAAAATCATAGAATTTGCAGGGAAATGGATGGCATTAGAGCAGATTATGCTAAGTGAAGCTAGCCAATCCCTAAAAAACAAATGCCAAATGTCTTCTTTGATATAAGGAGTGTAACTAAGAACAGAGTAGGGACGAAGAGCATGAGAAGAAGATTAACATTAAACTGGGATGAGAGGTGGGAGGGAAAGGGAGAGAGAAGGGAAATTGCATGGAAATGGAAGGAGACCCTCAGGGTTATACAAAATTTCATACAAGAGGAAGTGAGGGGAAAGGGGAAAATAATACAAGGGGGAGAAATGAGTGACAGTAGAGGGGGTAGAGAGAGAAGAGGGGAGGGGAGGGGAGGGGGGATAGTAGAGGATAGGAAAGGCAGCAGAATACAACAGACACTAGCATGGCAATATGTCAATGGATGTGTAACTGATGTGATTCTGCAATTTGTATACAGGGTAAAAATGGGAGTTCATAACCCACTTGAATCAAAGTGTGAAATATGATATATCAAGAACTATGTAATGTTTTGAACAACCAACAATAAAAAATTAAAAAATATATAAAAAATAAATATTAAAAAAAAAGGCTAGAAATGTATCTCCCTGGTAAAGTGCCACTTGGATCAGTCCCCATTACCAAAAACAAACAACAACAAAATTATTTGTGTACACCTAGGAGAATTCACCTAACTAAACAGAAATAAAGTTTAACATACTCCAAAGTAAAGCAGTAGAGCATATGAACAATTGTGTCATCTTTGCTTTTACATGAGTTTTTCTGCACATGATAAGCTTTCTGTTTGGAGTTGGATTGAGAGGACAAGGAAGGCAGCTTGAATCCCCCCAGATTTTTATACAACAGCTTGTACCCTATCTCTTCTCCCACAGGGATGGACTATCTGCTAAGGGGTAAGTAGTGCTGCCAGCAAAGAACCTCAGTAACTTGAGTGGAATCATGGGCAGCCTTAGTTCCTCCTTATTTAAGTAGTAGACATAGTTGATGGCAAAGTATTTTGGGCAGAGGTAGCTCATAAATGAGGAACTTAATCTATGAAACATTGTTTTTCAGCCCTGTGGGTTCTAATTATTGGTTTCTTCACAGCTTACTTTCTCTCAGGCCCCACCCCTCACTGCAGAGAACTTGTTGACAACAGCTCCACTTTTTCAAGTCTTGCAAAGGCAGATGTCTCTGAAAATGTAGCTTACGCAAAACATCTGTGTGCTTGACTCTGTTCCCACGATCGTGTATTTTCCTGTACTGCCTTCTCTCTTTTTAATAATTGAAAACACAGATTAACATCGTTTAAGAAAATTTGCAAAAATAAAAAAATCACCCCCAATAACACCATCTATTATTAATAGCCATTTCCATACTAGCCATAATAGCTTCATAAGTACAGTTTTTTGCCTAGTTATATCCTTTTTCTTAAGCAGAAGTTCAGATATTTTGTCATACAGCCACTTCCCTGTTTTTTTCCTGATTCTAGCATCATCATTTGGTTTTGGTGGTGAGTTAACAAAAGGGCATTGCAGCTTATCAACATACCATCAGCAAGTTCTTGTTTTTATTTTCTGACTTTTGGGACCCAAGTATTCTAGTTTTTGGACTAGATGATGATATGGATGATATCCAGTTTTTATTTTTAAAAGTAAGACATTAATATGTATAGAATTTTTAAAAATAAAAAAATTGAAAAAAATTTTAAAAACCCCTGTCTTCTAGAGACTCAAGAATAGACAAAAACAAAGAGTAATCCTTACATGTATACAATCTCTGTTCTAATTTTAAAAAAAAACTGTGTCTTAATATGTATAGAATTTTAATTCTCTCAACACTTAAAAATTGCCATGGTGGTGAACATCTGTAATCCCAGTGGCTGGGGAGACTGAGACAGGAAGATCTTGAATTTAAAGCCAGCCTCAGCAACAGTGAGGCGCTAAGCAACTCAGTGAGACCCTGTCTCTAAATAAAATACAAAATAGGGGGCTGGGGATGTGGCTCAAGCGGTAGCGCACTCGCCTGGCATGTGTGCAGCCCGGGTTCGATCCTCAGCACCACATACAAAGATGTGTGTCCGCCGAAAACTAAAATAAATAAATATTAAAAAAAAAAGTAGGGCTGGGATGTGGCTCAGTGGTTGAGTGCCCCTGAGTTCAATCTCCAGTACCCCACTCCCCAAAAAATTGTTATTAAATGACATTGACTATTCAAGACAAGTTACAAGTTATGATGCCCATCTCAGAGCAGTCTTTCTTTCTTCCTTTTTTTAAGTTCATTTTTTTGCCCTTTGTTGTGTTGCAAACCTCAACTCTCCCAATATCTGACTAATCTTGTCGGTGGCAGTGCCTTATTTCTGTTTGTCTGCCTCAGAGCTGTTTAGGTCTCATCCTTCATCCTCTTCTTAATAGTGAATAAGACCATTATTATTCTCACTTTCTTATTTGACAAAAGAAAAAATAAAATGGACTGTCTCCTTGTTTGGTTAACATGATTAAATACTGAGTATCTTTAACCACCTTCCTTTTAGTAAGCATGGTTCCCTGTGCTTGAATGTTTTAAAATTAGATCTGTGAGGTGGCCTTCCCTGATAGCTTAGGAAGTCTGTAGGACTTAACATACAGTTTTGCTAGTTGTTTATTTCTGTGTAAGAAGACAAATGACCCTCTTTAGGATTGTGGCTTTCCTTCTAATAAGATAAATTCTGCCTTTGGTAATAAAACTGGTGTTTAAAATAAATTCTTTTGATCCTTATGTTTTTCTGCACCCTGAAGAATTGCTATTGAGGTAGGTTATTGAACCTAGCTCAACCAGGAGCTAAAAGCAATATAAGCAGCAGGTGTGGGATTGTACTCCAATATCTGTTCCTACGTAGGAGCAAATATATTATATGAATTTTAACTCCACAACACATTTCAGACACATGAAAATTAAATTTACTCTTGGATCATTTTGATTTGGACATTTTCCTCTTACTCCAAATCTTAGTTAAAGTATCTGAAATTCTTATAGTTTCACGTTGCCCCATTTTTGTACTACAAAATACTACCTTGGCAATCTCTTGTCTCCTCCTCTCTGATTTCTTCCAATCATTCTCTGGAAAATAGAGAAAAATGTGCTGTAGATCATTGTTTCTTTGAAAATTTGCTTTACAATGTACACTTCATAAATTTGTAAAATAACTGTTACACAATGGATTGGCATCAAGAAAGCCCCAAAAATTAAATTTTCAAGGAACAAGAAAGAGTAAAGTTTTCATCTGAAATGGTGGGACAATCTATAATAATTCTGGGAGGGGGAAAAGTATAGGAAGCAAGGGACATCAGGTTGATTAAAAATTGTGAACTAATTAAGAACAGCAATTGCTACTTTATTTCTTTTTCCTTTGACAAATCATTAAATCATCATTTGGACTTTACTCTTTTGCTCTTTTTTTCCTTCCTCGTGCCCCTCCTCCTTAATCATCATTATCTTTTGTATTGCAAAAGTTAATTGTTCTTAATTGGAGTAATTAGGTAAAAGAAAAACATAAATGGCATCCAAATTGGAAAAGAGGAAGTCAGATTATCCTTGTTTGCAAATGATGTGATCTTTTATATTTAAAAAAAAAAAAAAACCTAAAGATGCCACCAGAAAACTGTTAGAACTGATAAATTCATAAAAGTTGCAGGATATAATATCAACTTACAAAAATCAATGATGTTTCAATACATTAATAACCAGCTAGCTGAAATAGAATCAAGAAAGCAATCCCATTTACAATAGCTACCCCAAAACTAAAATACATAGGAAGAAGTTTAAGAAGGTAAAGTAACTCTACAATAAAAACGTATCAAAGAAATTGGAGAGAACGCACAAAAGAAAAATGGTATCTGATGTTCATGGATTAGAAAAATTAATATTGTTAAAATGTCCACCTTGGGGACTGAGGTTGTGGCTCAGTGGAAGACTACTTGCCTCAAACATGTGAGGCACTGGGCTCCATTCTCAGCACTGTATATAAATAAAAAATAAAGGTCCATCAACAAGTAAAATAAGTAAATAAAATGTAAAAACAAATACAAATGTCTGTGTTTGCTCTGGGGCTGGAGCTCAGTGATAGTGTACTTGTCTGGCATGTGTGAGGCTCTGGGTTCAATTCTCAGCACTACATATCAATAAATAAAATAAAGGTCTATCAACAACTAAAAAATAAAAATAAAAAGTCCATGTTACCCAAAACCACCTATTGATTGAATTCAATTTCTTATAAAAATACCAAGGACATTCTTCATAGAAAATTTTTTTTAAAAATCCTAAAATTCATATGGCCCCAAATAGCCAAAACAATCCTAAGCAAAAAGAACAAAGCTGGTAGTATCACAATACCTGAATTTAAAACATACTACAATGCTATAGTAACCAAAACAGCATGGTATTGGCAAAAAAGAGTTAACTGTTTTTACAAGTGTCAGAACCTAACCACTGGCCCCTTTTGAATTTCACTGTACATTGGTATATGGCCAGGGAGCTCTGTAATATGCATTACAACCATAAAAAAAAAAAAAAGGAATTTTCCAAGGGACTTTAAAATTCAGGCAGTTTAGGGCTAGTTAAGAAAATCAAGCAATAGATTTTAAAGAGATTTAACATTTTGCCATGCCTTTTTCTGTCTCATTGGTTTAATATTTTTGAATTAGTATTTTTGAGGGAGTTTTAAGACGGCCTGTTGGAAAATCATTTCATTTCCTTAGGCAAGGTAGAGAATAACTATGGAAGAAATTGTTTGGCAAAGAGTGCTGATAAGACAGGTGTTTTGCAGACTGGATTAAATTTTTATAGCCAGTGAATTTTGAGAAGTTAGTTGTAAGACTGCAGTAAAGTAGCACTGAACTGACTCCATTAAAAAAAAAAAACAAAATCCTTGGGTTTCTTATGTTTGAGAGCTCACTTTTAGAACCCTTTTGGTACCTGGAAGGGTAAGCTACAATGGGACTATAATGTCCAAGAACTCAGAAGCCAGGGAATGGGGTTTAAAAATGACAAAAAACTTAAAAGTAACTCTAAATTTTGATCCTTCACTGTCATTCACTGATTGTATCATCGGTAAGCTTAAACAGGTTATTCTCAAAACCTTTGTATTCTCATATATTTAATTGAAGAGCAGAGATGATTTAATTAAGTTAAAACCTTACAGTCAATTCTTTGGCTCTGTTACTTGAAAATCATTGACAAACTTATGGTGAAGAGGAGCTTCAGAGGAGTGGAAAGACAATAAGATGGCAGCTGGTAGGAAAATTGACTGGCCAGAAAAGAAAATGGGGACACCAAGTATAGAACTTCCTCTTTTTTTTTTGGGACATGAAATCTTTATTTTATTTTTTAATGTGGGGCTGAGAATCAAACCCAATGCCTCACACATGCTAGGCAAGTGCTCGACGACCACTGAGCCACAAACCCAGCTCCTAGACTTCTTTTAAAGTAATCAAGAAAATTTAGAAGAGAAAATAGGATCAAGTTAAGATTTTTTGTTTGTTTGTTTTCTTTTGTTTTAAGGATGTGAGAGACCAGACTTATTCATTTGGGGAGAAGTAGTCATTAGAGAGATAAAAGTGACTTTGGAAGGAATGGAGTCTAGGACACAAATGAAAGGATTAACTTTTGACAGCTGGACACATTACTCTCAGATGGAGAAGCACAGTAATATTAGCTAGCCACCATTTCCTTGGTATTATACAAGGTCAGGTTAACTATGGAGAGTTGAAGGAAGTAGGAGTCCAGAGTGGGGAGTTTGGGGAATAACATGGGAAGGGAGCTTTCCAGAGATGTCAATGTACCGCTGGGTTAACTCAGTGTTTTTGCTGTTGTGTCTGGTATCTTTGTTATTGAGACCATGAGTGTGCTGTGACTTCCAGAGGTGTTATTTCATAATCCCCTTCAATTACTTTCATGTACTCAATATATATTTATTGACTGTCAGGCAGTATGCTAGACATTAGAGAACACTAGACAAGATGGTTAAAGTTTTTCTGCCAAGAAGCCCACTCCTCAGACAGATAATAAATAATTCACTAGCCACGCATGATGACACACATCTGTAATCCCAGCTACTCAGGAGGCTATGCCAGGAGGATCAGAAGTCTGAGGCCAGCCTGGGCTACTTAATGAAACCCTTTCTCAAATAAAAAGGGCTGGGGGTATAGCTCAGTGGTAGAGCACACCTGGGTTCAACCTCCAGTAACACAGGGAAAAAACAAAACAACCTCATTGAATCCTACAGTTTTAAGCTGTAGTATTATGAAGGGAATTCAGGAGCAAGGAGAATAAATTATAGGGAAACCAACTAGGAAATAGGACATGAGATAGTTAATTAGGAAAGAAAGAAAAGTCCAAAAAACAGTTGGCCGCCTGGAAAAAATTGAGGAACTAAAGGGACTAGGAGTCTCCTTCAGGTTGAAAGGGGATTGAACACATCGGAGTCACAAAGAGAAACAGGTTGGTTGTTGCCACAAAATATGAGTTGTTTTTGTTTTTTTTTTTTTCCCTGAAATCAAATCCATTACCATTGCCTGTTACCGGGGTACACATCTGTAATCCCAGAGACTCTGGAGGCTGAGGTAGGGAAATCACAAGTTCAAAGCCAGTCTCAGCAACTTAACAAGGCCCTAACCAAATTAGTGAGACCCTATCTCAAAATAAAAAATCAAAAAGGGCTTGGGATGTACCTGAGTGGTACAATGCCACTGGGTTAAATCCTCAGTACCCCCCACCCAGAGTTCATCAACATCTCATGGTCTCCAGAGAGACCCTGGGAATTAGAAGTCTCAGAGTCTAGGTAAAGGTCTTTGAGGATCAGAAAGATGAGACGCTTGGTGGCAAAGCTCTTAGAGATTCTATTGTTCATATAAATGAACATCTAAGATTGTAGTAAGGGGCTGGGGTTGTGACTCAATGGTAGAGCGCTCGCCTACCATGTGCAAGGCCCTGGGTTCGATTCTCAGCACCACATAAAAATAAAATAAATAAAATAAAGATATTGTGTCCAACTACTACTAAAAAAATAAAAACATAAAAAAAATAAAAAGATTGAAGTAAGAACCAGAGTGAAGAGAGAGTGAGCCAGGATAAGGGATAAGTAAGCAATAGCAACAAGAATGTCAAAAAGTGACAACAACAAAATGAAGATGACCTGAACCTCAGAAGAGGCTTTTCCAAGGGTAAAAGAGAAAGGGTCTGAAAGCAGTGTTTGACATTTCAGGTTAAATAAAGACTAACTTGCATTCCTTCTGCAGGTGTGTTTTAAATACCTAAGAAGGCATTTGTTTAATCATGTAAATGAAATGATTTTTCAAATGCTGAACAGTGTTAATCTTTTGTTTTATTCCCACATCTACTTGAAATTTAGTGCCAAGTAATGTTGGGTCATGTCTCTTAGTAACCAATAAGTAACCAGTATATGTAACATTTTAAATACTGGGGGGAAACTGTGCAGGTCATTTACTTTTGGGTCAGAGAGCTTTAAATTTTTTTTCTTCCAAAAGAAAAGTGTCCAAATCTAGAATTTAGAACCAAGAAGCTTTGTTAATTCAGCCTGTCATGGAAATGTACTTTTTTGATCTGAGACAGTTTCTCCTCTTCTTGAAGGAGGATCTTCTAAACAAAATTCCCTACCAGTCATTGAGGAAGTTCCTTGAGACTAACTCATTCATGGGCATCTAAGTGTGTTGTTGTTGGTGTTTGTGGTGGTGATGGTGGTATTTGGGAGGGTTAGTTTTTGGACAACTATTGAAGACAAGACTGAGGCTGAGTCTCACCAGGGCAGCTGCAGAGAGGGAAACTAGAAAGGCAGCAGTGCTGTCATGGGAGGTCTAGACTTAGCTCAAACTCAGAAGTTTGGGAGTCAGGCAGTTGTGGAAGTTCAGGATTGGTGGCAACCTAGAAAAAAACAGAGAATATATGTTCTTCTCGAAGGTATTTTGTCATCAAAGTTATTTTAAATCTGTGCTGGCCTAACAAAATGTGCTGAACTAGGTCTACCGGTGACCATTTGATGCCCTGTCCTAGACCCTTTTCAGAACCATCCACCTCTGACATTTGATTATTTGGTAGTATTTTATTTTATTTTTTAATATTTATTTTTTAGTTTTCGGCAGACACAACATCTTTGTATGTGGTGCTGAGGATCGAACCCGGGCTGCACGCATGCCAGGCGAGCGTGCTACCACTAGAGCCACATCCCCAGCCCTTTGGTAGTATTTTAAAAACCTAAACCAAAAGCTAAATGCTTTGTATCTCTGAAAGGAGATCAAGTGTATATGTAGCCATTTAGCTTCTAGAAGAAAATGCTTTTAGCCTCAGAGAAGACTGAAAAGGAACCAAGGACTGGGCAGGCAGCCACTTTTTGCCCATGTAGGCTTTCCTGTATTTCTTTGTAGATTCTGTGATCCTCCTCACATTTTATTTTTGAGACCTAGATTTTAATATGGGGAGGTGCGGGACTGGGGATATAGCTTAGTAGTAGAGTGCTTGCCTAGCATTTGCAAGGCCATGAGTTCAATCCCCCAATGTTTAGTTTTATTTGATTTTTTGATACCAGGAATTTTACCCAGGGTGCTTAATCAATGAGCCACATCTCAAGCTCTTTCTTATATTTTATTTAAGAGTCTCACTGAGTTGCTTAGGGCCTCATTAAGTTGCTGAGGCTGACTTTGAACTCATGATCCTCCTGTCTCAGCCTCTCAAGCTGCTGAGATTACAGACGTGTGCCACCATACTTGGCCAGCCCCACAATATTTAATATCTAAGAAACTTACTAAAGGAAAAAGAAGCAACTTTAAGAGACAGGATGAAAGTATGTGCCTCATGAGAATATGTCTCAATCTTTTCCCACTCAGATCTGAACTTTTGTCTTCAGGAAATGGTGAAAAAATAGAACAAACACCATACCAGGCTTTGCAGTGAAATCCTGCCTTTGTTCTCTTGGGGTGAATTGACTTGATGTGTTTTTAACTGCTATTTGCTTCAGCCTATTAAGTCAGCAACATATCATATTATAATAACATCTAACATAGGATAAAGGGTTAAAGTGCCAGCCTGAGTGTCAGATAACATGGGGGATTAATTCTGGCTCTCCTGATGACTAGCTGTGTGATTTGGGGCAAGGAATTAAATTAATTAATTAATTAATTAATTTAATTAATTTAATTAAATTCTCAACAGTTAATATGACTGTACCCCACTATGCCTATTCCTTTTGGTTATTTGCCTAAGATTTAGAGTTCCAGGGAAAAATGTGAGACAGGCTAGACCTAAACTACATTCCAGCTTCTTGCAAAGCCCCAGTTCAAAATCTGGAGGCCACCAAGTCCACATATATCCAGAAGAGGACTGGGGTGATATTAGAAAAGAGAGATCTGTTGTTGGACCCAAAATACAAAATAGCAAATGTCAAACCAAATGTGCCCCATCTATGAAAATTGAATGATTGAATTGTATGACTGACCAATGTTAAAATCATTGTTTCTATCAAACCTTTTTAAGATGCAAATAGTTGAGGCAAAAATTTTAACAAGTCTAATCAGTTTATAAACATTCAAAATCAACAGAATAAAAGGAATTTTCTAGGGTTTTTTGCTTGTTTGTTTATTTTGTCTCCCATTTATGATCTGTAGGAAAAGACCAGGAATGTTAGTTGTGGCTGGAATTTGTCTCTTGTCCTTGAACAAACAGACCTTTTTCTTTTCCCCCACTTCAACCATAGAAAATTAGGAAAGAGGAAAGCAAATAACTGCACCTTTGGAGTACAGTTGTGTGGAGCATTGTGCAACAGAGTTAAGGGGAAGATTAGCTGGAACTAAAATGGCCTGATGGTTGTAGTTAATGAATAAGAACTAGAATCCTAAGCCTTTCTCTGCTTTGCCAGTAATTGGTCTACTGATGTACCTTTGTTTGAGTGCTGATAAAGAGAGAAATAATCCTGCTGCCTGTATTCATAGGCATGTGTCTGGAAGTTAATACTCTAGGGAAGATGATTCCAGGTATGACTTGATGCTCTGATATTGTCAAATGAATGTTTGGCAATGTGTGGTAGGAGTGGAATGTTTAATTATGGAAAACAGTATAAGATATATGTGGTGGTACACGCCTGTAATCCCAGCCACTCTGGATGCTAAGGCAGGAGATTGCAAGTTCAAAGCCAGATTCAGCAATTTAATGAGGCCCTAAGCAACTTAGCAAAACACAGTCTCAACATAAAAAGTAAAAAGGGTAGGAGATATGGCTCAGTAGTGGCTAAGTGCCCCTAGGTCAATCCCTGGTACCAAAAAGAGAAAAAGCAGTATTATATTTGGGTTGGATTGTCTCCCATTGTGATCTAAATTCCTTTAGGAATTAAAAAGTCAAGTTTTCCTCATTACCTGAAAAAATGCTTTTTGACATTGTGCAGCCATATTTCATACATCAAGGCACAATGATGTACCTTCTTTTCTCTCCTGTTTTGAATAGCTGAACTTCAGTAGGCATCTATATTGACAGTTCTGTAGTCCCTTGACCTCTGGTCTGTTATTTAAAATTTCTTGTTATAAAATTCCCTTTCATAATAAGAGACCCAGAATAGCTAAAGAAATCCTTAGCAAGAAGAGTGAAGCAGGTGGCATCACTATACCAGACCATAACCTATACTACAGGGCAATAGTAACAAAAATAGCATGGTATTGGCACCAAAATAGATCAGTAGACCAGTGGTACAGAATAGAGGACACAGAGACTACCCTCACAATTACAGTTGTCTTGTATTAGAAAGAGGTGCCAAAAACATACATTGGAGAAAAGATAGCCTCTTCAACAAATGGTGCTGGGAAAACTGGAAATCCATATGCAACAAAAATGAAATTAAGCCTGTATCTCTCACCATGCACAAAACTCAACTCAAAGTGGATCAAGGACCTAGAAATTAAACCAGAGACCCTGCACCTATTAGAAAAAAAAGTAGGTCTAAATCTCCATTATGTCAGATTAGGCCCCAACTTCCTTAATAAGACTCCTATAACACAAGAATTAAAATCAAGAATCAATAAGTAGGATGGATTTGAACTAAAAAGCTTCTTCTCAGCAAAAGAAACAATCAGGTGAATAGAGGGCCTACATCTTGGGAGCAAATTTTTACCACTTGCACATTGGATAGAGCACTAATCTCTAGGGTATATAAAGAACTCAAAAAAACTAAACACCAAAAAAATGAATAAAATGAATAACCCAATCAGTAAATGGGCCAAGGACCTGAACAGAAACTTCTCAGAAGACAATTATAATCAATCAACGAATATATGAAAAAAAAAATGTTCAGCATCTCTAGCAATTAGAGAAATGCAAATCAAAACTGATTTCATCTCACTCCAGTCAGAATGGCAGCTATCAAGAACACAAATAATAAGTATTGGCGAGGATGTGGGGGAAAAGGCACAACCATACTTTTCTGGAGGGACTGCAAATTGGTGCAGCCAATCTGGAAAGCAATATGAAGATTCCTTGGAAAGCTGGGAATGGAACCACCAGTTGACCCAGCTATCCCTCTCCTTGGTCTATACCCAAAGGATTAAAAAACAGCATACCACAGAGACACAGCCACATCAATGTTTATATTTATAGCAGCACAGTTCACAATAGCTAAATTGTGGAACCAACCTAGATGCCTTTCAGTAGATGAATGGATAAAGAGAATGTGGTATATATACATAATGGAATGTTACTCAGCAATACGAGAGAATAAAATCATGGCATTTGCAGGTAAATGGATGGAGTTGGAGAATATAATGCTAAGTGAAGTTAGCCAATCCCAAAAGACCAAATGCTGAATGTTTTCTGTGATATAAGGAGGCTGATTCATAGTTGGGTTGGGAGGGGGAGCATGGTAGAAATAGATGAACTCTAGACAGGGAAAGGGGGTGGGAGGGGAAAGGAGGGAACATGGGGTTAGAAATGATGGTGGAATGAGATGGACATCATTATCTAAACTATATGTATGAAAATAGGAATGGTGTGAAGACACTTTTTATACAACCAGAGATATGAAATATTGTGCTCTATATGTGTAATATGAATTGTAATGCATCCCACTGTCTTATATAAAAAATTAGAATAAAAATTTTTACAAAAGAACATTCTGCTTGAAGAGTAAACTATTCAGCATACTACAATGATGCAGCCACATCAATGTTTATAGCAGCTCAATTCACAATAGCTAAACTATAGAACCAACCTAGGTGCTCTTCAACAGAAGTAACTGGATGGAACTGGAGAATATTATGCTAAGTGAAATAAGTCAATCCCAAAGAACCAATGGCTGAATGTTTTCTCTGATATGCGGATGCTAATTCACTGTAAGGGTAGAGGGGAGAATAGAGGTATTTTGGACTAGACCAAGGGGAGTGAAGGGAGGTGAGGGGATATGGGGGAAGGAATGATAGTAGAATAAATTGGACATTATTACCCTATGTGCATGTATGAGTACATGACCTGTGTAACTCTACATCATGTACAACCAGACGAATGAGCAGATATACTCCATTTGTGTATGATGTGTCTGTCATGTATAACTAATTAGAACAAATAAAAAATATATTTTAAAAATTCCATTTCATTATGATATGGTCACACTAAGTGAGGGCATGAATACTTTTTCCGTTTAGTGGGATTGGCAGAGGCTTCCCTAGCACTTCAAGTCTGAAAGTTAAATAATAAGCAGGGAAAGTTTATGAGGAGAGGGAAAGTAAAATGTTGGCTAGGTGGAATGTATTTGAAAGTTTCCTCTAGGTCAATATTCTTTAAGGCAAAAATAGATTATGTGTCTTTTAATTTAACATAAATGCCAACCAACCAACTCTGTGTGATAATATTATGTATAGTCAGTATTACAAAATAATTTACCTATAAATTTT